TTTCCAAAGTAGTAAGAGAAAAACTCACCAAGTAGCAACCTGCAGGGTACATCATAGGCTGTTTTAGATAATTAAGTTATAAGAGTAGCTGTCCTTTCAGAAATTGCATTTTAATTTATTCACAGAACTCTTATATATTAAAAGGCAACAATTTGATATTCTTGATGGTTAGCGAGATAATTTTCATTTTATCATGGCAGATGGTTTTGCCGTACCTCTTCCCAGTGCCCTTTTTAAAACAAGGGAGTTAAATAAAGGAAAATGGAGCCGAATGTACCTGTGGGCTATTTATCTAGTAATCAGATGTTTTAGATGTGAAGTATTTAATCTTGGGATCGAACAGTCCTTTAGTGCTCCTTATTAACTTAAGTAATTTCAACCTTAAATTTTTGCGAGCCCAGAACTTGAAAGAAATCAGGCATACCTTCTTGTAAAGTGTGATTCTCCTACCCTCGTTACCTGTCTAATGGTCTCTTTTCTTATTTATCTCGATTTTTTCAATTTATGAAATGAGCAGGTTGAGCTAAGTGTCTAAGGGAGTCTCTAGCAGTTTACTTCTGTATCACCTTTACTGCTTCAGACAGCTGCTATGTGCTGCTGCTTTACTCGTTTACTGTCTGCACAATTAAGCATAAAGCTTTTGAAAGTGCTTAATAGCTCTAATTACTCTTTCTTTCCCATTCTACATTGTATTTCAGTGATTTGGGCATATTTTTGGATCGGCATGTGCTTAGCTCTTAGATTCTGGCCTGACTCTGACTCAGTGTATCTGTTGCACAAACTACCAATGCATTCATGCAGTTGTTAGTAAATCTGCAATTATTTCTTTTTTTCCCTCTGACTGTCTTCTCTCGGTGCTGGAGCAAAACGGGTACAAGATATTGCCTGATACAAATAAGCACAGGAAAAGCTGTTCAACATCACTGTTAGGGAAATGCAAATTGAAATCACAATGAGATACCACTATATACCCACTAGAATAGCTACACTTATAAAGACTGACAATACCGAATTGTTAGCAAGGGTGTGGAATAACTGGAACTCTCTTATTGAGGGTGGGAATACAAAATGAATGGTACAGCTATTTAGAAAACAATGCAGAAAACAATTTGGCAAGTTTTTTCCTTTAAGTTGAACACTTATGATATGATCCAGCAGTTCTATTCTGTCCAACAGTTCTATTCTTACGTATTTACCAAAGAAAAATGAAAATACAGGGCCACATAAGGACTTGTGCTTGGATATTCATAGCAGCTTTATTCAGAAAAGCTGAAAACTAAAAAGAACCTAAATATCCATCAGGGATGAATGGATCAACAAGTTATGGTATATCCATGCAATGAAATATTATTCAGCCATAAAAAGGAACAACTATTGATACATGCTACAACATGGAGGAATTTCAGACAAATTATGCTAAGTGAAAAAAGCCAGACACAAAATATGACATACTATATGGTTCTGTTTATATGACATTCTGCAAGAGGTAAAACTGTCACGGTAGAAAGCAGGTAAGTGGTTGTCAGGAGATGGGGGAAGGGGATTGAATGCAGAAGCCACGGGAGAACTTCTTGACGTGATGGAAATGCTCTATGTCATGATTGTGATAGTGGTTACACACTTGTCAAAACTCATCTAATTTTATACTTAAAAACTGGGGTGAATTTTATTGTTTGTAAATTAGACCTCAGTAAACTTGATTTTTATGTAATGGTATTGTCTGATAGTATAAAAAGGAAAAAT